AACCTGCACCAAAAAAATAAAATCTATGAGTTTGATAGGTGCAACTACTTGACTTCGTTAGATTGGTAAGTAATTGAAGGAGACTGTACTCAAATATCAAGAAATTGAAATTAACACACACACACACACACACACACACACACACACACACACACACACACACATATATATATATATAATTGTCTGTGACAAAGTCTTCCATATTTTATATATAAATAGGACTGGTACATGCACAAATAATATAATCCTTTTAATCACGAAATGGGTAGCAATGGAGGCTCGTTTTTATATGATTGCAATGGTGTTGCTCTTCGCAATGTTTCTTGAAACCGCAAGAACTTGTCGAGGCATTCAAAATTTACAATTTATTGGATATATAACAATTTTTAAATTCACATTAAAAATAAAAATAACAAATAATTTATTATAGTTTTGATAGCAATACATATAAACAATAAAACAGACCTTTTGTATTTTGTTCTTTTCTTCTTTATCAACTGAATATCATATAAAGAGCTTATTATACCTTGTATATCACTATAAAATATAATTATCTGTATTATAGGTTTATATCTGTCTTTTTATTTAAGTAAAAATAACACAAGCATTAGCATCAATATGCTAAAAAGCCAAAGTAATTTATTTAGAATTTCTTCAGGCCAATATAAATTTCTTCAGTGTATCTTCTAATTGTTGTTGAAAGTTTAGTAATAATTTTCTTCTCCATCTAGTTTTGAATGTAATGGGATGGCTTTGAATATAATTGTCATTGCATTAATGACAATCATTTCTAATTTCCAATATATTTTTAATTAGTTTGATCCCGTACCAAAAGGATTATACTGCACTAGCTGGAGGAGATCACTCTAATTTCCTTTTTCATTTTACTTGGACTATACAGTCAATTGATTCAAAGGGAGCACCGGAGTTGATGATCATTCCTGTCTCCTCCTGGCTATGTGACATCTTGCCAGTATTTCTATTTAAACTTTTGATACTTTTTATTATTTTTTAATTAATATAGATGTTGATGCTAAGTTGGGTGCATGTATTTTTTTTTAAAATTAATATAGGTGTACAGGTCAGTTTATGTGTATTATAATTAATTTTACAGGTTCTGAAATTAACGATCATGTAAATCTCTAGTGACCATCATTTGAACAATCAAGAACTCGAACCTAAGACTACAGAGAGGGTGAATCCCTTAGTTCCAAGTTTTTACCACCTGATCACCACCTAGATGGTTTGTATGTATGTATTTTGATTAATCTTCAGGAGGTGTAGTGTGATAGTAAAGCATTTAAGATCTACATAACAAGTTTTGAGTTCAAATCAGAATGTGTATTTTTTGTAAGAGTATGGGATAACTAGAATTTTATTCATTCACCTGAATTCATAAAGTGTATTTTCTGGAATTTTTTCAAATAAAAACAATATATTCTAATGAAATAATTTCATGGACTCTAAACAATTCTTAATCTTTTATCTACCACAAAGTGAAACTCTATTAATTTGACAAAATCAATTGACCAAATTCTTAATAGATTATATTTGACTATCTCAATCAAAACTTTAAAAAGAATCAAAGAAATAAATTAAAACTATTGTTAAAAATAATCAGACGTCCCTTCATTATATGGTTTCAGTCCAAGTAATTATTCTACAACGAATTTAATCAAGCGAGCCCTTCATTAGATATTATTGAAAAAATACATGGGACCGTGGGGAAGGGCACAGTAGTGTCTTTTAATTTCTTCCAGGTATTGCACAAAAATCAAGGAAGGAAAAGGATAGACAGGCAAGCACCAAATAAGGACACTGTCGGGTCTGGAGAAATCTGCACGTGTCGCCCAAATATGATGTTTTTCTTACGTACGCTATTTATTTTTCTTAATTCGGTTCCTCATCAATTTTTCTTATTCAGTACTGGTTGATTGATAACTATTAAATTTTTTATTTGATTTTTAATTTTTTTCATAACTTTTTAATTTAATTCCAAACCTTTATACATATAAGCCCAATAAATCTCACCAATAAAAAAGGAAACCATAAAGGTTAATTTATTTAATCATTAATTTTTAATAAATTTTAATTTTTTTATTTTTATCTCCAATTACTAATAAAAAATAAAAGAGATAATAAACTAAACTAAATTAACTCATTATAGTCATATAATAACCCTCACCATATATTTAGCGGGTTAGATTTGATTGATCGGAATTGATTTAATATGATTTTTTCTTTGCATTTAACACTTGGTTATTTAACACTTAGGTCTAATCAAGCTAGGTAAGGGTTTGAAACGGTAGAATCTTGATTATTTTTTTAAACTATATTATATTTTGAATGGAATAATCAGGTCATGATTGGATCATTACATGAAATAGTACATATTGAACAATTTTTTTTTTTTTTTTAGATTAACGTGGGTGTCCAGGCCAGTTTGCGCGCACCACGACTAATCCCACGGGCCCTGAAGTTAACGACCATGTAAGTCTCCAGTAGCCATCATATGAGCAACCAAGAACTCGAACCTGAGACCACAGAGAGAGCAAACCCCTTGATCCCAAATCCTTACCACTTGACCACCACCTAGATGGTTCTATTGAACCAACTCTAATATGATTAGACTTGGAGCTCATGTCCAATGGCCAACCAACGACATGGGTTGGCAATATACAAATAGAAAAGCAAGGTATCTATTAAAAAATTAAAATTATATAAGACATAAAATTCTCTTGTTGAAAAAAAAAAAACTAAAATCGTAGGCATCAACCTTGATTATCAAAACTCGAGAACAGCAAAAAATATTATTTTATATGAGTATTTTAAATTAAAATTATATTCAGTCATGTATTTTAATAAAATTAAATATTTATTCAGTTATATTTCCAGGTAATTAAATTCATTTCTGCAAACATATCAACAAAGAAATTGGCAAACCAATACAAAAAGCAATTTGCTTCTCCATTCAATAGTTTGTACTTGCCATCCACGGACCTGACCTGAGGAAACAACGCGTCTTTGAAAGACTACAAGCGTGTTGTGTATTCAAGGTTTACAAGGACTTTCTATCATCCCAGTTTTATAAAAGGATTAGCTCGATATAACTAAATATGATCAAAACAATTATTTAAATTAGACTTAGAAAATATTTTCCAAGTTAGTTCTGTTCTTTTTCCTTTTTTAATTTTAGATTTTTTAGTTTTTTTTAGTTTTTTCTAGTTTTTTCTTTATTTTCAGGTTTTCCAGTTTTTTTTTTTAATACTTGATAATAAAATTCTATAGTAAATAGAATTATGCATGTATTATTTGTATTTGTTGCATCACATGTGATGTATCAATTCCGAACGTCGAAACTTCTCACCGACAAATTAAAAGGAATACAGGAGGTCGACAAATTAAAAACTTGATGCACCTTGAAAGTCTTCTTCCATCATCAGCTTTGTATAAATGGCAGACAAACACAGCTGGGTTTCTTCACAGCGTACACGCTCTCTAGCTATCCATCGCCACATAACAATGCAGGTTCTTACTTTCATATTGTTAGCAATTATGCTGTTTTTCGGAGCTTTTGGACCCGGCGCAAGAACTTGCTACGCCGTCCGATATGTCAATAAAATGGAGCATTCAAGAATCGGATTACGTGCGTTTGAGAAGAGGATAGTTCCACCTCGGGTATCTTCTCCTGCTCGCAACAGACCGCACCGTCAATTCGTACCACCACGTCCACCACCACCTGGAACCATATATTAAGATCGATCTAAATCGTCTTTTCTTCGTTTTCTTAAAGGGGTTCTTGTGATTTCTAGTTCTCAACTAGGTTTGATCTCCTAATGTTTCGTTTCTGTATTAATTCTCAGCTGTTTAATTTCCTTGCTATCCTATCTTGAATAATTTATCATAAGCAAATGCCTCTTTCCTTTTATTACAGGTTTTAATTTCTTGTTCTTTTTAAGGTAGTAATAACGATACTCAAACGAAAAAAAAATTCTATTTATGTTTTACAAGAGTGAGTGCCAACGAAGGAGGTATTATCAAACAGATCATGTTACAAAATGCAAATCTTAATCCTTAGAGAAAATAGCCATGCTAAAACAACGAAATCTCATAAAGAGAGAAGATACGCAATAATCTCTATCCTTGATGTTTGTAAAAGGTTAATTTAGTAGCTTCAATTTTGTTCTGGCTACTACAATAAAAAAGTTGGGAAAAACGACTTGAGTATGGAAATGTTGAAGAGTGTGGTATATTTTGTTTTTTTATTTAAAAATATATTAAAGAAAAAAATTGGGAAAAACGATTTGAGTATGGAAATGTTGAAGAGTGTGGTGTATTTTGTTTTTTATTTAAAAATATATTAAAATAACATTTTTTTATTTTTTAAAATTTATTTTTAACGTTAAAACAATTCAGGAATACCATATAGAACATAAGTCGTTCTATATATTTTTATCTCTGGTATTGAAATCAGAAAAATAATTATAATATTGTCAATAACAAATTATATATATTTCGAGGAGCTGGTAAACGAGCTATTTATTACAAAACCCACTTCGAGGAGGTAAACGAGCTATTTATTACAAAACCCATCCTGGAAGCCTTGCAGCAAGATTGGGATACTTTTGGACAGGTGAACTCAATCATGAGCTTTGTATTCAGATATATAATCCTTGTGATCCACGTTTAGATTTGAGGCCATCCTCTTGTAAAAGAAAAGGAAGAACGGTTCTGGTTTCCAAGCTATTTAATGGCAGTGAACTCCCTAGGTATTTGTGGAAGGACAAAAGAGGCTGTGATATTTGGAAAAACTTAAAGTTGAAAATCGGAAAGCTGGAGGAGCTAAAATTCAACCATAATTTCCAGGAAACTTCCTGCTCTGTGTCGGCCGCAATGTTGAATTTTTTGCAGCCATTCAACTACCAAGAATGGTTTACTTTAAGTATTTAGGCTCAAATTAATAGATAAATTATTGATTCACACACCAAGATTGCATAAATAAGTCCAAAGAGTAGGTTTTAATCACTTTATCAATTCCCAAATTAACAAAATTTTAAACTTGATAGTGTTCATGTTACTTCACGGACTAGTAATACTATCCCCTCTCACTTGTGTCATGAACATGGTTCAGGCCTCTGATACGGCTGATCAGAAGGCAGCATTGGAAGCAACTTCCAGTAGGAACTGGAATCTTCCTCGAAAACTCAAGGTAGCATACCCACCGGAAAACATGAGAGGAAATGACAAATATTATACAGCGGCAAAATTGAAAGGTATGAAAGTACTTTATCCTCTTCTTTCATTAATTTTGCAAGTAAACCATCAAAATTTCTAGTCCAACTGATATACGTGAACATTTCTAGGGTGCCATCAATAAGTTACAGTGGCGATAGTTTATTATCAGAATGAAAGTTTTTCTTTCAGGTTTTTTCTTATAATAATTCTTGCTGTGTTGTTCCAAATATATAAACTAAGCACAGCCATCAAAATCATGCTCGCTCTCGATAGTGATCGTCAGTCGGGCACTGTTAAAATTGCTTCCACTAAGCATTTCTCTGCCGAAGTAAACGCGGAGCCAGAAAGAATACTCGGGACACCGAAACCATCTTCTCCAAATCCCAACCCACTTCATCATCATGGCACTCCTCCCCGGAATGAGGGCCGTAAATTTTCACCACCACCACCGATGTCATTGTATTGTCAGTCGTGCCGTTAAAATTTTCATATGCATTGACCCGTTGACTCTGTATCTTCTTATTGTTGTTAATGATCACTCCTGCCTCCTCTTGGCTGCTGATCCTGGCTATGGACTCCACTATTAGATCTAGTTACTTCTCCAGATAAAACCTCAAGGAGAGGGACAGTTCTTACAGCATGTTCCGGTGCAATGGATCACGAGATAATTTAGAATGTCAATCTAGATACTTCTACAATTCATTACGTTGTCGAGTTCAAAAAACTCTAATTGTATCTCAAATACAATATTTATTGCTTAATTTGTAAAATACAATGTTATAATTTATTTTCATCCTTGCAAGTATCATAAATATTCGTTTTAACAGCCAATCATAAAAAAATAAAAAATTCTACCATATAGAAATTGAAATCCTCGCAGATTAAAGCAGTCATCACAGGAAAAAAGCCCACGATAAACTACCCGTCAATTCCTGACCCGGTTAAAGTGGAACGGGTTGCCCATAACAAGCTTTAATATTAATAAATAAATAAATAAATACCAAAAGAGATTAGTGATTTCTGTGCATTAAAAAAATGTTACTATTAATTAAAAAAATATTTGTAACAGTAAAATAATTATTTTATCATTTTTAAATAAAATCATTTAGTTTAGCTATTTTTTATAATATTCATTTAATTATTATCTTACTAATTGAAGACAAATGAATCATTCCACATAAATCCATAGTAAAATAGCTTAAATACTTAAAAAAAAAATAGTGGTTTAGGAGCTTTTTAATCTTTTAATTCTTTGATTGGACAATAAAATGATTATATTGCTCTTAAAAACAAAAAATAAAAATGTGGTCCATAGGTATTTTTCATCTTTTCATCATGGTTTTTTAGTTACAATTAATTTAAATAAGGGGTGATTTGGTATTTTAACAAATATAAATACAACTACAAAAATAAATGTGGTTGGCGCATGTCTGTGCTCCCTAAGCAACGTGTAGGTTTTCTAGTGGTGCTGAATTTTTATATTTGATTTGATTTTTATTTTTTTATTTTTTAATATTTTCTTGATTATTTTTTTAATTTCATCCCTTAACATTTTATTTCATTTAATTTTTTAATCCTATATGGTTCTTATTTTTTTATTGTTATTTTTTAAATTTTTCCCTTATTATTTTATTTTATTTGGTTTTTATACCAAATTTGGTCCTTATTACTTTGATTTCTATTTTTTAAAAAAAAATAGGTGATTAGGAATTTTTCTTCATGATTTTTTTGTATTTTTCTTTTATGTAATAATTTTAGTCTCATAACCCAGGTCATGAATTTTAAAAATTAGCCTGATTTCACCGTAGTCTTTTTTAAGTCATTTTTTTAAATTAATTTTTTTTAAGATCATCCTTTGATATTAAATTCTCGGGCCTTGAACTTTGTAATTCTTTTTATTTTTTTTTGTGGGCTTATACTGACCTCATGTCTTGAGTATCAAATTAGTCGAATTAATATGAGTTGATATAAGTTTTTTTTCAACTTTTTTAACAGATTTTTTTTTCAGTTTTGCTTTTCATTATTTAGTTTGTTTGAGAGTTAACCTCTATTATTTTCTTCAATTTCTTTCACTTTTCTTTTTCATGTGGGAAATTATCTTAATCTTATGACTGGAATGTGATGTAGCATGCTGACTTGAGTAAGTTTTTTTTGTTTTTTTGCTAAAAAAATCAGTTTATCCTACAATGTTTGTCTTGCTAGTATTTAAGTTTTAGATTTTTTTTATTTTTTTATAAGGTTATATATTTTCATTTATTTTTTGCTTTATTATTAAACAAAATTGTTAAAAAAAATTAAAATTGTTTAGAGACTTTCTTATCATATTATTGGCAAGCGCTTATTTCTTTAGATAAGTCAATGGCTTTTTTTTTATTGTTATTATTTTTTTAATTATATTATTAAATCAACGATGATTATTAAACTCATTTGAATTAATAATATGGGTTTCAGATTTTTCTTATTCTTTTAAAAATATTATCATATCTCAGACAGGAAAGATTTAGCCCAACCCGGCCCGAGACGAAGTTCCGGTCACCTGTCTAGTGAAATTCCCAAAGAACATCAACTGCTGCGAGTAGAAAGGAATCAGCTTATCTTATTAATTACAGATGCAAGAGCAAACTTACATTAAAAACATTACAGAATGGAGAGGAAATTAAAAAGAGACGACATAAGCTGGTTTTAATGCATGAATCCGGGTGGTGACTTTGGTGGTGTTCCCATGCCATGTCGCTTGTTGGCCACCGGAGCAGGGATCTGATTTACGGGAGCAGTTCTTCTCCTCCTAAGTTCATTAAAACCACCATCTGGGATACGATGCAAAACCGTTCTTGAAAGCTCCATTTTGTAGAAATGGACGCCGACATCCCTGCCATAACAAGTTTTTGCCGTGGATGCAAAAACTGCTAAGATGAACAGGATGGCATGGATATTCATGAAATGAACTTTCATTGCTTCATAACATTCATGAAATACTTGCTACTTGCCTCTATTTATTGTTTCAAAGCCTTTGAAGTCAACTTGCCAGCTGTGAAATGGCTTGGAAGTTGACTTATAATTGGTTGATTCTAACACTTGGAAGGGAAAAAAATTAAACAAAAATTCCAGCTTGCTTTTTACTAAAAGAGTTAGACAACTATAAATTTCCCATGCAATGAACACAAGCATGCCGAAGGCAACTTGCAAGCCTAGGTGCAATCTTTATTGCTTAATTTGTAAAATACAAGGTTATAATTTATTTGCATCCTTGCAAGTATCATAAATATTCGTTTTAACAGCCAATCATAAAATAAAATAAAAATAAAAATAAAATTCTTGGCCCGATTAAAGTGGAACGGGTTGCCCATAACAAGCTTTAATGTTAATAAATAAATACTGTACAACCTTATTGTTGAGGATATAATCTCTGGTTACACCTTACACGAACGAACTTGATAGGCGTTTAAATTTCAGTGACGACCCGGTCCACGCCTTGGAGCAGGCTGAGGTGGTGGAGGAGCTGATGGTCGTCGTAATGCCATAATTATATGCAATCTCTTCAACTTGTAACCAGTGCCATTGTTAGAAGGAATAGCACCGGAAGCCATCCCTAAAACATGCGAGTAAACCAACGCGTAGATGAAGACAAGCTTGAGTAAACAAGAAATAGCACCCATCGGATATGAAGCTACCTTCTTGTTTCAGAGACCAACTGATCATTAATCCTTTCTTCATAACTCGGTTGAATCATTATATAGTGAAACCTGACCGCTCGGTGTCATTGTCGTTCCAGTGGTTGAATTAAGATAAAGAAGAAAAATTATAGAGCAGTCAAGACTTTATGACTCATTAATAAAATAAAATAAAACAACAACAAGAAGAAGAAGAAGAAGAAGATAAGGTCATATTATACTAATCTTGCTATCGACATCAGTAACTTCAACATATTCCAGGAAAATATTTGTTTCTCATTCCCAACAACATTGAAAGCGCTGGTCGTTATTCAAGATACAAGAGTTTAGTCTGACGTCGGTAATTTTTTCATCATTCTTGGCATGATTATTTTTATTGTATCACTTTTTTAATCGTTAGAACTATATAGGTTGTGAGGAGATGTGTAGTTCAATTATAACATACATAAATTTGGATTTAACCGATGGATTAAACTAAAATTTTACCAAAATATTTTATGGATCTAATTGTATAAGGGCATCTCATTTGCTAGCTGATTTTATTTTTAGGCCAAATTAGATCTGAAAGCTATTGTTCCATAATTTTCATTGTTTTTCTTCTTGTTTTTTGAATTTTTTTCTGATTTATATCTGGATTTTTAATTTAATTAATATTTTACTAATTAAAATGTTTTATGAATTACTGACTTTTATTATATGTCATAGTTTTCTCTATAATTTTCTATAATTAAGAGTTGTAATCTTAGGATTTTAGAATCCTAGTTTCTTTCTATATATAGTCTAGGGCTATAAAATGTGATCCGGTAACTATATTCATGTTATATGTTATGTTAATTAGTATTAGAATAAGTTGGTCTAGTTTTGATAGTATAGCAGAAGTGTTTTTTGTAAGTTTCTTTGTATAGTTAGAGTTGTCTTATTAATGTTTATTTTCATCATTAATATAAATTTTAAATTTTAACTTTTTTCTTTTTTCTTTTTTTTTGGTACATATAATGTTGAGATAGTTGTGAAACATGGAAAAGACAATGTCACTCATGCTCC